ATACTCTTTCTATAGTACGATGGGATATAATTTGCTGACTTGAATATCAGGAACCCTTAGTTGTTAGTTAGTCATCGTTGTTACATGTGAATATAAGAAAGATCATATATTTGAACTGCGGAAAAAGATATGAAAACATGATTATAACTGCGATGATGAATCATGTCTCAGCTCAGTCGCGTTGCTATCTAGTGAAAACAAAATTAAAGCGTTCTGTCATTTCGAAGGAATCTTCATGAGAAAGAGTTTGCCATAGCTTTCATGAACTATAAGACCACCGTCTCGACGAAACCAGACAAGTGGCATATTGCTCAATCTTTCAGCGGGAAGGCAACTGAGACGTCTCGCGGGCTCAAGTTCGTATACGTTATGTTTGTTGTGTGCCTGGCTCTGGGATGAAAAGTAGCGAATTATGAAATTCAAGTTACTTCACCATTAGATATTTCGCTTATCTTATAATATTAAAATGAATTTCTATTTCTTTAGTTCGCGGCTTTCAAAATGCAGCGGCGTTTTTCCTTTGAAGTAGCCTCTTCCATTTTGCTGTATTGTTGCGCAATATTAAGTGTACTGGTCTCTTTTCCCAACGAGAATTCTATTGGCTTATAGAGCAGCTGCCGTGATAGCCGGCCAAGGTTCGCCGTTAAAAAGGTCTTTGACATCTTACACCGAATGTTTGGTCACTTCCGTACAAGAGTGGGTGTTTCAGGGCGTATCCTTGAATTATCGCCCTTAACAGGCTTCAATTCTTGTCAAACCTGTATTTGATGCTGCTATAAATCGTTGAAGGATTGACCGACACGATATTGTGAACTTTCTGTGAAGTCAAAAAGGTAAGTAAGTAACTGTGCTCTCAAACAAAGTAATTGTAATATGTAAGGCTGTAATGAAGAGTAATATACATAATTTACCCATGTTAGAGATTCTGAAAGAAAATTGATTGTATTGTAGTCAAAGAAAAACGAAACAGTTAAACGAACTGGGAACTGAAACGAAATGTTCACACAAAAAAAGCAATTAATACGAACGAATTAAAGGAAGCTGAATTGGTATCTTGATGAATTTGTTACTTTAATTTAATAACTCTAACATTATCGTCAAGAGATTACCCATTTATTCTATTTTTTAATCTACAACAAAACTAAAAAGAAATTAAACGTTAAGTGATTATGGTAGTTAAAACTTGCAAATAATTGCGATCAAGAGCTACATCGCAGAAGATTAGAGATCGAGAATGAAAAAAAAAGGCAGTTCCCTCTGGAAAATCAAGATATAAAACAAAGTTTAAAAAGAATTCTAATTTAGATACAGTTTTCAGTCATGTCATAATCTAAAATCAACATTTTTTTGTTCATCGTTGTTTAAATAGATTTTATGGAAACTTTCGGGTCGGTAGCAATGGCGAAGAAGTCGTTCCACTTGGAAAAGAAATACAGCATTTGGGAGAGGTGAGCCTGGTGAACATCTCCTTAATGAGAAGTTTCAAGTGTTTAACATAATGTATTTCTTTTAAGTGTCAAATAAGGCTGTATTGTATTCTTTCCCATTGGGATAGTTAGACCTTTGTGTACCACTCCTTGTGAACATCACATCACATCACTTGACGCCGACCAGTTTCTTCGAGGCTGTTTTTCCTTATTATAATTATCGTTGTGTATCGCTGTCGTTGTTATATTTTCTGGCTTGTAACCTGTATTCAAC